CAGTTTGAGAGAGTGTACAACCAAGACAAGATTTGAAGCATGTTAGAAATCCATTGCAGCCAGCCTGCATTGTGAAGATGGCACCTGATTTATTTGACAGTCTCAGCAAACTCAACTGTAACATACACGTAAATAAAATGCACTGCTTGTGTAGACATTATAAGAATAACGGAAGGAGAAGAAGACAATGAAAAGAGTATATTTTTTACTGAATCATGTTTTCTTTTAAAAACTACTGAAATTATCAGTTTGCTTTACATTTGATGGACCACGTTTGTGGTACACCTTCCTGTTTGTTTATATCTGTCAATTATTTACCCTACAATTTATTCATTATGTCTTTGGTGCATCTATTGTGTCATTCACACATTAGTTATGTAAGGTTCCAACATTGTATTCACAACCATGCCACTCCCTGCCAGAATGAGGCAGTCGGAACTGTGCTGAGATAAAGAGCACTCAAGAGTTCACCTTGAGGGCAAGGATGCTCTTGGGTGAGCTTACCTGGCAATGACCATTATGAAGCAAGCATCATCAGCGATGAACCTGTGTTTCTATGTTGACACAGGATTCAAGTGCACAACAAGAGAAAGAGACCCAGGAGTCAGAACCTGGGTGGACCAGCTCTAGAGAGTGATAAAAAGGTAAAGGAGGTGAAGAATTCATTGAAAGGGAGAGAGAGAGAGAGACAGAGTCTTCTTCTGAAGATATGAAGCCTCCTATATCTTACTACATATCTAGAACTGACTATCTAATACCAGACATATTTTGTCTGAAGAGATTTTATATTTTTAATAATTTAAATACCACTATCAAAACGCATGTTCTCATCCTTTATGTACATATGTGCAAGTCATCTCAACTACTGAATATTGTAAGATTCTATTTTGAAAAAATCCACATTAAGTGCAGAAGCAGAAAATTATGAAATACAGAGTTATCTCGAGTCACAAACTTAATATTTTTCTGTGATTTCATTTGCCAACCGAAATATTCACATGCAGCAAATTTTTCCCCATTGAAACCAATGCAGATCTAATGAATCCATTTGCCTGCTCCAGAAAATTGAAAAAAAAAATTTTTATGCATTAATGTGGGACAAAAGTATATAATATAAAATATACAGCATAACTTGACCTTTATGGTTGATAGTTAATAGAAGTAGATGGTAGAAATGGAGATGGAAGACCACTCCTTCGAAGGAGAGTCCCATACCACAATATATGTTGGCAACTATGGAGATATTCTGGGGTTTTTTTCTTCTTCTCTTCTTTGAATCCTGGGAAGTGGTTTGATTCCTGGCTCAGTGGCTACAATAATTTTTCTGCTTCTAACACTTGAAATCTTTAGCCACATCAACTGTCTTAGTATAACTATGTTCTTTAAGATAGTACAGATCATAGATTTAGCTATAATGTACTGCTTGGTAAGTTTGGAAATACAAACACCATTCTCACCATTAGTTATTATTTCCTTCTTTGTTTTTACTGTAATACATTTAGGCTTGTTTACACCACTGTCAATAACACTTGTTCACATCTTGCAAATCTGAGTACAACTGATGCTGTTCATTGGCTGAAAACATGCCATAAGAGCCATGTTTGGGCTTTCATCAGCCGAGGCATTGTTCATGGGTTGAGTCAAAAATTTTTGGGAAATTGTGTACGTAGGCCATTTTTTTCTTCATGACTAGAGGCATTCATGACCTTAAGTACCACTGTATTTCTTCTGTGTTTTTTTTTTCTACCCTTGATACCCTAACGGAGCACAGATCTTTACCAGCTCACACCAAGATGTCCTACTCTTACCGCTGCATGCATAGCACCTTGTGCCTCTTGTTTCTTATTTACCTCTTTCTGATTTTCTTTTCCATGTTTTCATCTACCTACTTTGACCTTGTCGGTTTCCATGCAAGAACATTCTAGCTATATTGCTATCAGGTTTTCTCAGTATGTGCACTATCCAGCACTAGCATCTTTTTTGTTTTCCACCTCCTTATTTACTAGATTTTGTTTAGTTCTCTCTCAAAGCTCCACATTAGTCATTCTGTTACACCATTTAATTTCCTATGTTCTGCCCAGATAATGAATGTTTTAAAAATGACTATTGCAGCTTGATATAAGCTCATATAAATGTACACAAAATAGCATAGTCAGAACTATTAACATAGTATATAGATCTCTGCTAGCTAGTATTACTAACTGTCCAAGTAATTATCTATCCAAATATTCATGAGTGTTTCATGTTTTCTTTTGTTTTTCTATGTTTTATGTGAAATAAACTTGTTTTCTCAGAATATTCTATGCGTTCTAAGTTTATTGAATTACTGCATTGCTCCTGCTTGTGGAGTCATGACCTAAAACAGGGCTGTTCAACTGGCAGCCCATAGGCCAAATCTTTTTAAAATGCTTTATATAAAGATGGCTAGGAAAAAAACTGCAACTGTCAACATGTACAAAGACATTATAAAACTATAGCATCTTGTAAAGTTTAAATGAAAAGCAAAATATCAGCCATGCCAACACAGCCTTTAAAGATGGTGGGGAAAACTTTGTTGACAGACAAGCAGCAAACCTGCTGGCCAACAACTTTGCATAGGACAACAAAATCTCCATTTCAAGAGCAAGAGAAAAAGAGGTAAACGCAGAACTGAAGAAAACCAATACAAAGCTAGATAACAATCAAGATATAAAGAACAAACTCCCTAAGAAATTGAGTGCATTTTAGGAAAACTTAAGGGAGCCACCTGGTTGGGCATTTTTTATGACTCCTGCATTAGAGTGCACCATCTTTAGTGCATTAGTACTCTGATGTGCAGCGCTGCCGGCAGTAGTCTCCGATGGACCCCGGCGCTGTTCCCACCTGGCAGTAGTCCACAGAAACAGCCCCATAGCGGTTTGGGTAATCTAAGCATACTCATTAACCATAGTTTGTGTTCCTGGTTGGGCATTTTTTATGACTCCTGCATTAGAGTGCACCATCTTTAGTGCATTAGTACTCTGATGTGCAGCGCTGCCGGCAGTAGTCTCCGATGGACCCCGGCGCTGTTCCCACCTGGCAGTAGTCCACAGAAACAGCCCCATAGCGGTTTGGGTAATCTAAGCATACTCATTAACCATAGTTTGTGTTGATGCAAGTTTTCATTACTGGGCGCCCACGCCATTCAGGCCGACATGCCCGACTTCGGTGGGGGGGGGGGGGCAGTCATGGAGTCTATCCAAGTCCTGGTTCGTCCAAACCACGGCCGGGCTCCAGGAGGTCGTGGTCCAAACATTGCCTGTCGGACATCAGAAGTTATAGGAGTTCCCTTTTCCGCCTTTGATTAGCCACGATGGGTTCTCTGTGTGTGATCTTGATAGGGATAAGGACGCGTCCACAAGCTAGCGGGCCCAGCACCATTCGTGTCTATCGGGAAGTCACACTGCACCTAGGGTTTCTGTCTGGCTTAACTAGTACATGACATGTTCGTCTGTATGCTTGTCAAGCTCTCGATGGTTCGCAGATAAAGAGTATGACTTCACTTATTGGAGAATTCTCGATGATGTGGCGGGAACAGTTTGTTTATTTGTTATCCCCATTCTTCATGATTGCTTAATTCCGCGGTAGCGGAATGTTGATAAAGAGTCTCTGGCATCCTGTCGAATCCATTTAATGTTAAATCCCACTACGGCCTGCAAAAACCTACATATTCGTAAGTAAACGACTAAACTGTATTTGACTGCTGACATTCAACCTCACCAGGACCGCAGGGCGAGCGATAAACAACCGCTGCCACAAAGTGTCACCATTCGAATGAGAATCACCCGAGCGCAAATCCCAGAAACCCTCCGTTCAACCCGTAGGTTATATTTAGGGCCTTCGACGACAGCTAGTGTGGGGTTTTAATATATATTTAAAAAAAAACAAAATTGCCTCCCACGTAGAGAAAGGTGAATTTGACTACTAACCGAGACATGATGCTGTTTGCGTATGTTGCTATAAGAAAAAGCATGCTCAAAATGGTGATTTCCTTGGTGGTATGACTGACTTTTTACCTCACTAGGACATCACACAGAGCGATAAACACTCCGTGACACAAAGTTCCACCATTTGGATGAGGATCACCCGTGGAGATGTCCCAGAAACCACTTTCAACCGTTAGGTTATATTAAGACCCTTGACAACAGCCAGGATGGGGCTTATAAAAAACCCGAAAAGTGTCCCACATCGGGACGGAGAGTAGTAACTTTGGTGGTGTAAAGTCTTCTTCTTCTTCTTTTGTCGTCTCCCTGTTACCAGGTTGTAACCCAGTGTCGTGGTTTTCTGAATTTGTCTTGCGCTTCTCGGATGGCTTAAGTGATGGATTTGTTAAACTTTTTGCAGATTTCATCTCCACTATTTATCTCTCTCTTTCTTGGTCTTCCTCTCAGATGTTCTACTGTAAAAAGTCTCATATGCAGTCTGGTACAGAGCCAGTCTTTTAATGTAGCTTTTAATTTTACTACAAGTAGCATTAAAAATATATATTCAAAATAAAGAGACAAGTAAAATATTGAAGCATTCTAAACATAAGTTACCCAAAACATATACTAATTTTATTATTTTTGACTGACTGACTGACTTTCCTAACCCACTAGGATATTACACAAGCGACAAACACCCGATGACACAAAGTGCCACCATGCGGACGAGGATCATCGTGGAGAGGTCCCAGAAACCGCGTTCAGACAATTGGCCATATTTATGGCCTGCCTATATTGCGGCCCTTGGCAAAAGCCAGGGTGGGGCTTCAAAAAAACAAATAATTTATTATTTTTAACAAGTGTCTCCTTATAAACCAGAAAGTAACGCAGTTTGACGAATTTTACGCGTCATGTTACTAATATGTTCTGTGTTTCACACAGTGCACATAAATCACGAACTTTGGCCCCGAACTTCAGTCGTCTGCTGAGAGTTTAGTTTTCAGGGACTACCAGGCGGACACAGGTTCGGCTAGGCTTTCGGCATTTTCAGCATTCGGAATGGCTACCCGGTGGGCAATTTGTGGTGCCGGCAAAATTTCGCATGATTTTTGCTTAGCGCTTAGTTCTCTGCCAAAAACAGATCACCAAGTAAGTGTTGTTTATTGAGTTAAAAAAAAAAAAATACGCGAAATCTTAACACGTTGGCAACAAGTCATGTCTTGTCTTTAGTTCAAGTTAGTGTTGTTGTAAATATTTAAATAACATTTATAAATTTAACAAGTGTACAGATAAATAAAGAAATGCAGCAAAATGTGCCAGGCAATAAACTGTCGAATCTTTGTTTGTCCTTTCGTGGTTCAGATTTACAACTGGAAAACATTGCTTTGATTTCCTTATTTGTTCATTCACAAAAGGCACTGCAATATTCAATATCATATCATACATACGTTCAACAGGTTTCATATAATCTTTTGTGACTCACACAGAAAAGTAGGAAACTAGACTACTAATCAGCCTTTTAAGTAAGAGGAAGAAGGTCTTTCAGTCAAATCCAGCAATTTTTTTTTTTTAACAGATAGTTGCAGTGGCCGCTCGGGACAAGGATAGCGCTGCAAATTTTGCATCCAAGTTTGACATTCCAAAGAGTTTTGCCTCTTATGAAGATTTAGCCAATCTTCCAGATGTTGGTAATGTATACATGTTCTAAGATGAATAGTGTTCGGGTGGGGTGTGGGATGTATATGTACACAAACTTATGGGTTTGTCTCAAATAGCAGACTAGCTAACTAGCAAAAGTTCAAATTTTGTTGCCCAAGGAGGAACACTGAACAAATTAAGAAGAATTTGGAGGCAACAGAGATTTGGGCTCTCCTTTAAATAACAGTCGCTAGCTGGAAGGCGACGGCCGCTTAGTCGGAGTTCACTCCCCTGGCTGCAGTGCAAATACGGAGTGGACAAGTCACGAATCAAAAAACTAAGTGTGGTCGACATGCCTGCTAGAGCTAGACGACGAGCTGCGACTGACAGTAGCGACTGCGGTCTTGCAACACAAGACTCTCGTAGACCATGCGCTGCGACTCAAATTAGCGACCGCGTTCTTCCGACGCAAGACTTAGTGACCATAGATGTGAGACCTGCGGATCTGTATGTCATAATGAGCGATAAGCTTCCGTCGTTTCCGTGATGTGTCACCCTAACCCTACCCCAAACCCTAACCCTACCCCTAACCCTACTCCAAACCCTAACCCTAACCCTACCCCTAAACCTACCCCAAACCCTAAGCCTAACCCTAGGATGACAGGTAACTATATCTTTTGTTTCGTTCCCTGTTTTCCACTCCGTAATTGCACTGCAGCCAGGGGAGTGAACTCCGACTAAGCGGCCGTCGCCTTCCAGCTAGCGACCGTTATTTAAAGGAGAGCCGAGATTTGGTTTCTGAGACGAATGTTACGAATACCTTGGACGACCAGAGTAACTAACAACGATTGCTTCAAAGAGGCTTATGAAAGAAGACCTCTATATACAACAATAAGAAATAGACAAACACTGTTCTTGGGTCACATAATGAGAAGAGAACATTGGAGAACATAGTGACAACTGGAAAGAACAGTGGAAAAAGGGGTAGAGACCGACCAAGAGAGAAGATGCTGGATGTGCTGAAACGATGGCATGGAGGGATATCATCAAGAGAGCTGTTCTAGGCAACCAGGGATCGTGATCTGTGGAGATGCACGAGCTCCTATGCCAGTTGGCAAGACACATGATGATGATGATACAGCCTGATGTCAGACAAACTTGGTACTGGCCGTAGATGCTGGAAACTTCTTTGAGATAGGAAATGTGAAGGAGGGGAAATATGTGTGCACAGTACTGTAGTCTAGCAAATTTAGATTTTGCTAGCACTAAAAATAAAGCTGAAGCTTTTTACTTGAATGTTACAGAAAAGTTCTTAGAATTCTGTGGATCAAGAAAAACAAATACTGACGTACAAGACATGAACATAAATTAAACTTGTCTTGGGAACTGAAATACTAAACACAGAGGAAACAAGGATATTCTCAGGCCATGCAGTGGTAAAGACAGCTCTACACTGAGGAACTAAATAAATTCCAGCAAATCCAGATTAAAAAACACTGCTGCTAGATAGGACACACTTGAGTAAGTTCCTTCTGGGACCAACAAAGCAAAAGAATAGAGAGATATACAGTGACGGCCAAAAGTTGAAGTCCACTAAGTAAATACTTTATTTTGCCCACACTGTTACATAACATTTTCATCCAGTGTGCCATTTTAGAACCCACTAAAGTCAATCATTGCAGCCATCATCTTCTCTCTAAAATAAAGCTCTTGATGCTGCACTCCATAACATTATGCAAAAATCAATTATTTACTAGGCGGACTTGAACATGTGACCACCACTGTAAAATTAGGTTGGGAAAAAAAAAGGAAAAATATTTCAAGACACGTGCAAAATAATATGGGTAGGGCATTGAAGGACATAACAAAAGGTACAAGTTTGTTATGGGTTGTTTGAGATCCTATGCCCTGTTGAGTGATCAATGTGAGATTCGGTATCCTCTGAGCAGATGTCAGTAAGAGTCATTATCTAGCTAGTAATAGATAATAGATAGAAGGATCTATCCTGGCAAGGAAAAACTTAGTTATTTTTGTTTAATTCACCCCATCTCAGGGACTCTAAGATTTTGTGGGTAGTTCCTTGGAAAGTTCAATAGTGTAGGGGTGTGAAATGAACACTCACTAACACTAAAACACACCCCCCCCCCCTCTCCACCATAATATTTGACTTATTTTTAAATCTGAGAACCCCAGGAGATGGGTTGAACTAAAAAAAAAAGCATCAGCTTACTTGTTACTCTTTGTGTGCTAGTCAGATATGGAAAAATGTGACATAACACAACACCCTCAGTATGCCTTTGTATAAAACATGTGCTTTCACAAGTTTTAATCTGTAGTTAAACTCTAAAAGAACAGCAGTATTCTCTACATTAAGTGCCTGCACGATTTGTCTCACTCTTGTAGGTTGTCATATATTGTTGTACTTTAAAGGTCAGCTGTTTCTACGTTTTAAAAAAAATGTTTCTTGTTTGTCAATTATGTTTTTCCTTAAAAACTGTACTTGTGATGTGATGAAGGAAATTCTTTCAGAGTCAACAGACAGCAGTAATTAACATTAATGTCTTCATTGTTTATGAGTTACATTCTGTAGTACTATCTTCAACTGTTATATCACTGTGATAACAGCATTTTAAGCTTCTGTTAGTTCAGAAAGTACAGCTTGTGCGACTTGCGATAACACTTTAAAAATAAGTTACATTATCATGTAAAGTGCCTAAAGCTGATAACAGTTTCAAGGTCACTAGGGTTAGCAGCAGTAACATACAATTTTAGCTGTTCATTAACTCTTTACATATTAAATTTAGGAAGGGAGGGAAGATCTCACCCTTCCTCTCTCCATCTTACCCTCCATTTCCCTCTATTTTTCTCCTCCCTTTTAATTTGACTTCCTAAAGTCCATTCGTCACATTAGTTATCATATATTATTACAGCCTTTCATCATATGTACTGTAAATCATTTTTTGATACTGAGGTTCCTCCATACCATTATTAAAAGTGTCTAACATCTTCTCTCTTGGTATCCTCTGTCTGCTTTTCCCCTCTTACTTTCTTGTCACAGGTTACTTTAGTTTTCTCCTTTTTTGATCAGCCTAGGAAATGTGAATTCACTTCTTCTGATGCAGGTAACCAGATCTTGTAAATCAATCTTTTACAAGAAATTTTAGTTTGCTTTTTATCTGATTTGTCCATGATTTTCTAATCTTTCATCTATAAAACTACAACGCTGCAGCTTCCATATAATATAACTAAAGTGCTAACTGTACGTGATTCAGTTCCATACATCAAGATTAGTTCCATATCTTCTTCTTTCCTCTGACCTTTATCCTCCAATGGAGCATAAACTTTCAGTTGCTTTGGCTGCAGTAAATATAAAATCACAAGTTGACAGCCACAAATTGAATGCAAAATCCCGCAAAGACAAACGAAATAATCTGAAATTAACTCTTTGAGTCCCGGGGGTATAGCATCACAGGCCCAAAGGGTAGTAAAGAGAGACATACAATCGGCGCATCTTGTGTTCATTGGGCTTCTAGGTAGGAACCTATGAACGTATTATGTGTTCCTTGGGACTCAAAGAGTTAATAGAATAAAATACATTTGATTAATTTGAGTGGCAAGTAAAAACAAGAATAACAATTAGTTGACTGTTCCCACCTCTTATTCTTTTTCACAGATGTAGTGTATATTGGCACTATTCACATCAACCATGTTGAAAACAGTCTACTTTTCATCAATGCTGGTAAGAGTGTTCTTTGTGAGAAGCCCATGTCATTGACTCTTGAAGGATGCCAGAAAGTGCTCAGAGCAGCTCGAGAGAAGGGAGTCCTCTTTGTAGAGGTGGGTAACAGGAATACTGCAATATGTGACTCATTGATATGAGAAATTGAACATGACTATCTTCAGAATTTAGAGTTGTTTTTAACTGTAGTGATAAGTCAGAAAGAACTGCAGGAATTGTAGTTGTAGAAAGTTTTTAAAAATGCCCAGCTTGAATAATGTGAAGTCTGAAGTAATATTTGTATCAAAGACAAGTATTGTGCCTAAATGTACATCTAAAGTCATTAGCATTATCTTAGGACAAATACAGAAGTTTGGGTATCTAGGCACATTGATAATGTCAGATGAAAGTTGTATTACTGAGGTAAAAAAAACAGAAAAGGAGAGAAAATAAACAATATCTTTTGCAATAGACTAATGTCATGGGAACTTAGAAAAACAGCTTTGAATGCTATAAATAGCTATTTTTTATTTGTGGAAGCGAATCCTGTACAATTAGTAAACAATGTAAAAAATTTGCTGAGGTCTCAGAGATGTGGTTTTACAGAATGCTTAAAATTCAGCCAGAATAAGTAATCCAGAGGCTTTGAAAGAGACAAGAGCCTGAAAACACCTTATCACAAAAACAGAATGAGAGGCTGTCATTATTTGTGGTCACAATAGGAGTAGAAAGAAACTGGAAAATGTGACCATGGAAAATATTTGTGGAAAGGAAATGTAAGAAGATTCTGGACAGCCTTTTCTCATGGTATGGAGAAGGGTCAGTACATGAGCTGATGCATGCTGTTGGAAATGGCAGGTTGTGGAGTGGGTATGATCATCCAAGCCAGCTGGCAAGGTACTTAATGATAGTGATGATTAGTTATAGCAGCTTCTAGTGTTCTAAAGTTTCAGTGTCAATAGAAAGTCTTGGAAATGAAAGTTTAGGGGCACACCAGTAGACTTTTTTTTGTTTAGTGCTGTTGACCATTAACCCACTGACTACCAAGCCCATTAACCCTTGCAATTTTCCAGATACCACTGGCGCAGCTTTTTACATCTATTTGTCATAAACTCATAATATTTTGTATTTTGTGCACCAGATTTAATGGAGAACAGATTTCTAGAATAAAACTGCATAATCTTGTTTGACATCATCATCATGTGGCTGTCACATTGGTGCAAAAAAAGGCAACTGAAGAGAAAACCTGTTTTTTTTTCTTTTTCTGACAGCAATATAATCAAAAGTAAAGTAAAGGACACTTTTCCCATGCCTTAAGGTGTATAGGGCATATAGGGCTAGACCTATATTTGTATAGACCAGTCGGCACAAGATGGGTGATGTGGTCAGTATCACGCCGGCCGCCTTCACTTTTCCGGGACTGCTTCCGGTACCCACTCAAGGCTGGGTCAACCTGGGAGCCAAGGGCAAGGTCATTTTTGAAAAAAGTCCGGCTCCGCCAGGGAGCGAACCCACGACCTTCCGATCTGCGGCGAGCGTCTACGCGCTCAGCCACGGCAACTCCCGACAGCAATATAGACTAACGAAAATGCCATAGCTACACAAGTATTTAGTATAGACTCATACTATTTGGCATTTTTGCACAAAATTTAATGGACAACAATCTAATAAAATTTTTTAAAAATATGTACTCTTGTTGTACATCATTATAATTGGCCTGTGTGATGCCTACCACATCGCCTACCACGTAAGGGCTGATTGGTCTATAAAATATAGGTATAGCTCTGCCCAATACGCCTAGAGGCATGGAAAAGGATCCTTTACTTTTCATCATAATATGTCTGCAGAATAGTGCAAAAAAAGGTAACTAAAAATTTGTTTTTATTTTATGACAGCAATATAGATTTAAAAAAATTGTACAGTTATACAACTGTTTAAAATAAACTCATAATATTGAGTTTTTGTACCAAATATAAAGTATAAATTTTAAGAATGAAAAGAGTTGGATAATCTTGTTTTACATCATCACCATGTTGCTGTACACTGGTGCAAAAAAAAAAAAAAAAGGCAACCAAAAAAATCTTCTGACATTAATGTTATTGTCCTACTGATATAATCCTGGTTGAGAGTTCTACCTAACTGTGAGATCAAATTCTGCAAATTCAGTGGCTGTTTGCTATTTTGCAACAAGAACATCTGTTACAGAATGACCTAATTGTCAAGCTCAAAAAGCTACAAAAACAATAATTTCTCAAAACGCGCATAGCGTGAATGGCTGCTCGGTAAACATTGAGGATTGCATTATGAAACGATTTCCACTTAACTTTATGCCACAAAGCTATAATATACACAATTTATACTAACAAACACATGTAACAATACGCACCTGAAGCACATATATGCATGAAACAGTTTATAAGAGCTAATGTAACACAACATACCTACCTCCTACTGCCTCATCTAGGATTAATAATTATTTTTGACTTGTTTTCAGGCAATCTGGAGCAGATTCTTCCCAGTGTACAAGTTTATCCAGGAGTACGTCAGATCTGGAGAAATCGGGGATGTGATTATGATCCAGGCAACATTTACAGTAGACATAGCTTCGGTCCCTAGAGTCAATGACCCCGACTTGGGTGGTGGCGGCTTGCTAGATTTGGGCATCTATGTTGTGCAGGCTGCCAATCTCATTTTCAAGGGGAAACCAGAGAAGATCATAGCGGAATGCAGCAAAACAGACAGTGGTATGGTTGCTATTTGTCATATTAGAAAATAGTACCTGATTTCAGAAGATTTGAAACAAATATTACTTAAAATTTGAAGAAAATCAGCACATTCTAGTTTTACACTCACTGGCTATACATTTTGGCAGTAGTGTCCATCATTTAATTGCGTAGTTAATTCTGTTCCCCTTTTTCAGTCCATTTTTCAGTATTTACTGAACTATGCATCTGAGGCAAATGTGAAACATTTGTAACACTTACATTTGTAACAATTACAGCTTCTCCTGAATGATTAGAATTTAGGAGGCTTTAAATCACTGACCTGGATATATCCATCCAATCATAATGTACATGTTTACCATATGCCAAATAATGCACCAGTAGACGAAAAGAGGAGCAGCTGGCCAGGCTGTCATTTCTGAGGTCCAGGTTCAAATTCTTAGTATGGTACTGGATTCTTTCTGTCAGGGTAAAAGTGAAATCCTAACCTGTTCAGTCTGTTCAGCCCTAAATCCTCAATCCCCACCTCGCAGTGGTAAATACAGATAGTGAAGACAAACTGGGACACGGACAGAGCTTATATAGTCACACAGTACAAGATTCGGCTGGTGGTACTGATAGATCTCTGAAATTTATTTTACTGAAAGATCTCTGATATTACCAAAAAGCAGAGAAGAACTGTACAATGTGGTAATTACCTTTGGATGAGAATGCAGGGAATGGGCCGCGGGACGTGCAGATGCAGTAGTTTAACAGCTAATAGAGGTCAACTCAAGACCTAGAGGTGTGGCTATACACACTGATGGGTCAGGGGCCAGGGGCAGAAAAGTAGATGTGACTTTGTCACGAAAGCACTGGGGAGAAGGATGATGGAGGAGAGCTTGGCATACAGCATTACCACATCCAGCATGCGAATGGAGGTTGAGGTGGTAACTATGGGGCTCCAATGGGTGGAAAAAATTTCAGCCACACATTTTGTCATTGTATCAGATTCGCAACCAACTCTTCATGAATTCATTGAGAGGTATTTGGGGATAGCTGCTTACTGGAGAACTGAAAATGCAGCGGAATGTCCAGTATGCAGTGACATTGATCCTGATAACATTACATTAGATATAATTTTAAGGGATTTTTTCCAAACTGGTTTGATTTGTTGAACAGACTCTTCCCTTTGTGGGTTCCAGGGCCCTATTAAAGGGGAAAAAAAGAATAGACCCACTGCCTGCCCATAAGCATGTCATAAGAGTCTACTAATTTGGAGCTTCCTTCAACGTTGGAGTGCATCTGCCTGAGAGGCAAGGAACCAACAGTCTGCATACAAATGAGTCAGATCATGATCTGAAGTGATTTTTAGATATAATACAAGTTATTCAAAAATTAATGTTGAAAATGAAATGTAACTCTTTGAACAATGATAAAGATGGTCAGCCTTTCAGAAAGCAGTGACAAACTACTTAATGTAACATGCCTAGTAAAACCTCCAGCAGCCCAAAAAATGGGTTGGTTTGCAATGTCTTCTACAGTATACAGCTACTTTTACTTAAAAAGATACAATTTGTAAAGGAGACATTTTTTTTAAATAATTATTTACCAGTTCTGTCATATTTCATGTTTTTATCTTTATATATTAATAAAATGGTACTAATACAACATAGCGGCGTCCGTGGCTAAGGCGTTGCGAGTCCGACTCGTAAGCCAGCATACCGCGATCGAAACCTGCGTGGATTTTTTTTTTCGCAGGTCGACCCAGCCTAAAATGGGTACCAGGATGGGCTGTCCTTTACCAGTAATCTGACCACATTACCCACAGATGTGATGGTTGTTATGCTGGGACGCTCTGCCCATATAAATTAAAAAACTTTACTTTACTTTACTAATACAACATATAAGTAAATTTAAATAGGTTTTGTTAAAAACGTTTAATTGACTACTTATTGAAACTCACATGCTTCATTATCTCTTCAAGGTGTCGACAAAACTGGAACAATAATCTTGAGGTACCCTAATGACAAGTTTGCTTCACTGACATATTCCATCGAAGCAGCTTTTGGAGCTAACTCATTTTCAATTAGAGGAAACAAAGGCAATATTGTGGTTAGTATTGCTGAGATCATTGTTTAACAAACATAATCACTGGTTAAAGTAGCACTGAAGTTAGAAATTTTTTAGCTTCAGTAGTTAAAAGATGTGTTGAGTCTCAACACTCTTACAACTAAAGATAGTGGGAGTCTCCGTGACTAATTGGCGAAGTTGTCTGCCTCACGCTGTGGGTTCATTTCATGGATGGTGTCATTTGGTTCACAAGTGCAGTTTTTATGGAGATCCTGGGGGAAGCTACCGGGTTTATTCTTTGTACAGTGCTCACTGCAGGCAGCAAGTCATTCCGCAGAGAGGGACTAGAGAGGGCTAGTTGTCTGAGAGGCTGTGCTCCAGTGGGGGGTACCTGGTGGTTCAAGATTACTCCTGTTAATAATATATTTCTTGCTAATGTTTACACAGCAATAAAGCTGCTTTTTTTTTTCTCCCCAGGAGATGGTGTATATATGTTATATGAAATATCTCTGTATCATTCATTTATTTTCAGATACCTGACCTTTTCTGGTGCCCAAACAGGGTGGTGCTTCCAGACAATGGTGTCAAATATTTTGAATTACCGAAGGTAGAGGATGAGGTAGGAATTGTCTCAAACAATGTGCTATTCAGTCTCATTCATGACAGTTATTATGAATTTTTCAGCCTAGCTCACACCTAACTTATTATGAGAAATAAACAACACTGATGCACTATGGACAAATCTAAGTGTGCTCAGTCCTCATCAATTGATATAAAAAATATGTACATATTAATTCTTCCTGTGATGCTACCACCCAGACCACATTTCCAAAAAATACACATTTGCTTATGCACTTCTTCATAAACAGTGGCAACCATCCAGACTGACTGACTTTGTACCCTACCAGGACATCACACAAGTGATAAACACCCGATGACACAATGTGCCGCTATGTGGGTGAGGATCACCGTGGAGAGGTCCCAGAAACCACTTTCAGCCTCTAGGCCTTATGGCCAGGCTATATTGCAGCCCCTGGCAAGAGCCAGAGTACGGCTCCCAATAACGAAAAATTGCATCCTAAAAAGGACAGGAAGTTATAGCAACCAAAATACAACCATCCAGAATGATGAAGTAGCTAGTGATGCATTAAAACCTTTAAGTGCTATTTGTTTCTGAACAAGGTTTGCTGACATACAAGGTCCGACAATTGGGTAATGAGACTAATTCAATAACAATTTTAAAAACCAACAGTTGAAGATTTAACCTGTCTTTTTTTTTCTCCCAAAATAATTCTCTAGAGCATTGATACAGCAGGTGGCACGATCTGACAAACACTGGAATGACCTGTAGTTTTTCTGTTGTTATGGCCCTTAAAGTCAATGTTACGGCCCTTTGGGTGTCATCATCATCATCAAAGAAGCATCTTTCAATGGCAACTTTAATTTTGGGAATAGAAAATAGTCACAGGGAGACCAATCCGGGGAACTAGGGTGGATGATTAAGAATACACACTTGTTTTGGGGCCAAAAATTCCTGTACAACTACCGCGCTTTGAGCGGTGCATTGTCATGAAGAAGAAACGAACTGCCAAATGTTAAATACAAACCGGCAAGCAAATTTTTTCTTACCTAAATCTTCCACTAAAATTTTACTAATAGTCTCTGTATTAACACCAATTTATCTACCATCATCCTCACAGTCGAACAGCAATCTTCTTGTATCTGTTCTCAGGCATCCATGTCTAGTTGCATTAGTAATCATTTCCACTCCACTTTTGAATCATGAATACCAGCTGAAAATCTGTGCACGAGATAAACAATAATCTTATAAACTTGTCGCATTAATTCAAGTTACAATCGCCCTTTTTCTGAGTTTTAAACAGAATTTGATGTTAGCTTTTCTGCTCCTTGCTGATTATGTAACAATGTACCTCTGACTATGTTAACAAAATGGGAGCTTGTTTGTTGTCTGCTTATCGGGCAGCAATGAGAAGTTGCCAGATCATAGACAAAGGTTGTCTCATTGGATTCCATGCTGTGATTCATAGATAGCATTTTTTTTTTCATCTTAGCCATAATAAAATCAGTCTAATTACTTAATTGTCAGACCTTGTATTTACCTCATATGGTGTGTACCCTTATGGATATGAAAGTCAGTTTGCATTTGGGCTCTTGGGTCTGTGAACCCTGTTATATTGCAGTGGCACTGCCACAGTTATCCACCATTTAGCCAGTGCTTTGTAATCTACCCACAAGTAGTAGAGGCAGTGTGAATTGGGAGAATTTAAAAGTTTGATGACGATGTCCTGGTTTAAAACAGAACTGAAATATCTAAAGAGCTGCAGATCATGGTGAATAATGTGGATGAATGGTGTGAGGGCACAGATTTTCGTTGTCAGCCCAGATGAAGCAGCAGCACTGCAGTGTTTATTAAATAATGTCATTGTTAGAGACAAGGTCCCCAACATCACAGTGAATGGCAGTAAGATCAAAAAAGATATTATTCACTCAAGTATTTTGGAATAACTTGACAGCTTCCTGTCTTTCAGATACTGTGTTGAAGTGGTGATGTTAAAAGACCAGAAAGGGTCTTAAAAGTTATGGCATCAGCGGATATGGAACACAGATTTCTGTACATACTATTAAAGATCTCTTTACACACCAGTGGTGCATCAGGCATATGAGGGTGGACATACTATAGATGCAGCTAATTATTTGTCAGTGATGGAGTATCACCTGGGACTGCTCACATTATCTCACAGACGACTAGAGAAACTGTAATGCATGCAAAATGAAGTTGTGCAAGTCATTCTGGGTTGTACAAGGAAGACACAAATTGCATGCATGCGGCGCATGCTTTGCTATTTGTATAAAAAAGATACAGGTAGCACGGGGGGAAATGTACCTTAAAATGGCAGAGGGCAGGAAACACTTTCTGCATTAAGTGCTGGATGATGCTAAGGGGCACAGAATGAAGAGAGGATGCTCTCGGACGCCATAAACAAAATTCACAATCAGAAATGTGTGCAGTATTCAGGATACTGCAGGGTGAGGAGTGGATCACAGTGTTAACCAGCAAAGGAAGTCCTTCATAGAGTGATAGTTACTTTGGACCAAGGGTGTTGGGGGTAGAAATCTAGATTTTTTTAAAAAAACTTTGGAAGGTGAGGGTTCCTTCCACATAGAAAATAGAGGGTAAAAACCCTCTTGAGGGAGAGAAGGTTCATGATTGCCTTTGGGTATTTCTCAGTGGTTGTGAACATGCTTCACAATCCAGGTGTGCTGGGCTCAAACCCCTTTGACGTGTATGAGGGTTCATAGATGGTTACATATATTGTTTGGTGGCGCAGTGATTTATGTCACAGGCGTGAGGGGAAGTTAAGTCCAACATGATGTGTATAAGGAGATATTCCATACGTCACTCGGGCGCCAGTCCTTCACTGTTCTAGTGGTTGGACGGGACTTCACGCAAGACCCTTGCAGTGTAATTCCACGTCGTGCGCCACGGATAATGGTCTCAAAATAGCATTAACAGAGCTGTCAGGGGATCTCGGAGTTTGGCAGCCCCCACTTGATGTGTCCTTGTGGCTCTTATCAGCCCGCCCCCAAACATTGGGTGAAAAAGGTTATCAGCAAACTCATTAGAACATGAGTATGCTTGCCAAACGTTCAGCTAAAAATCACAACCCTTGGTTAAAAGAATGCGGAGTGAAGAGAACATTGTTCACTGTACATCATCTGCTAGAACCCTCAGTCTCGTCGTCACCGCGCTTGAGGTACACCAAAACAGCAACAGCCTGAATGGTAGCTAAGCCTAAATGTCCGACAAAACTAGATGGCTCTGTCAGTACGGCAGCACGAGTGAGCTCAGAAATCTGACCACCACAATATTGTACTGAATGAAAAAAGACTTCATTTGTCCACTTACCCAAAGACCCCACTCGCACAGAATGTGAGGACCAAACTGATAACGCTATGAGCTGTGATTTTCATGATGTAATAATTATTTCTGGCTATAAACCTTCAAAGAATTTTAACGTGCGTAAGAAAAAAGAATGTACCTATTTGTGTGGTCACAAAAATGAAAATTCACGGTTTTGCTGGCAACTGCTGGTTTTGGCATCTCTAGCAGTAGCCTCTTGCTGAGCGGGAAGCCTGATACGGTTGTGAGGTAAAGCAGGCATGTGCATACTTTCAGGATGGTGAGGATTTCTGTGGTGAGCCCAGAACCAGAAGCAACTATAAGGGTGACATGTGCGGGCTCTGCATACCATACATAACACTCCTTTTTTTTGGCGGGGGAATGCCCAGGATCTGCACCCTGCCTTCCCTATGAGGGCTAACTGTGTCCACAGGGGGCTGTCTTCTAAAGGGGTACTCAGGGGGCAATTAACACCTATGGAGAAGGAGACAGAGTGGACTCCACACAAATCAGGCAACGTCTGGACCCGCACAAAACAATGGCCACAGTCAGCCTAGAAATAGGCCTGACGTCCTCCTTCGAAGTCGGAGTACAGCTGCCCATGAGGCAGGGAACATTAAAACGGTTGTACACGCAAAAATCAGATCCGGGTGAAAGCCAAAAGTCCAAGCGGACGATTAACCGGGACCTTCTGCCGGAATTCACAGCCGTTGAACGCAAAAAAAAAATATATATATATATATTGTTTGTAATTACTTTATGCTAATGTATTTTAGTTGTGGAAAATTTTTTAGGTATTAGTGGCTGTGAACACGCTTCATATAACATCCCAGCATCTAGCATGAGAGAGAGGTGGGAGCAGTATTGGCAGCTTTTATAGTGGCTGGAGAGTAGTACAGCTAGATATGTTGTAATTATATTTGACTTGCAGAGCATGGTTCGCAAAATAAAAACTGGTGTCTGAGCTCAGAATGGCTTACATCACTTGATAATACTTAGATAAGAAGCAAGAATTTTTGCCAGGACATTTTAGAATTGGGCAATGAGCAGGGTAATAGATTAGCAGCTGCCACCCTCTGAGTGGAGAGCTACTTTACGATAAAGTGGACATGGTGAAGACTTTCATGGATTAGGTAAACAGTACATCAGAACAGCTAGAGCATCCAAATCTGGAGAGAATGATTCAGCTGACAGTGAGCAGGGGGTCTGAATGATTTTCTACCTAAAGGGGAAAAAACAGGCAAACTTTTTATCAGGTTGCAGCTGGCTCTGTCAGTATGGGAGCTGCTTGTTAGCTACTGAGAAATGTGACGGAGCACATATGAGCATGTCCCGATTGCAGTGATTCAATACCTCATTTATTCACTCATTCAGTACATGCCCCAATCACACAGTCTACTGAGTGACTGCTTTGTGTGACACTATGAGCTGTGTATTTCATGTGGAATACTTTATTTCTGGGTATAAACCTTACACAGTAATTTTGTTTGTGTACGGCTACCTAATCGTAGCTGACTGCTTCTTTCCATTAATGAAAATTTGCAGTTCTGGTGGCAACTTGGTTTTGGCATCTCTAACAGCAGCCTTATACAGTTACTGTGTGTGCATACTTCCGGGTGGTGCCAGGGACATTTCATGTGATTTTCACTGGCACAGAAAATAAACAATTATGAGGTGACACATGTGCAGTGAAATTGAAACCTTGACTATTACCTCCATAACACTAATTTTTTTCCAAAGCCGCAACGTTCACATTTTGTTTGTATTTGTTATATTGTGAAGCTTGCTAATACACTTTTCATTCGATTTTATATCTTTTCTTGATATATTTTTCTTGAACAGAAGAGCTTTATATTTACAAACTCACAAGGATTTGCATATGAAGCTCAGGGTGTTCGTGACTGTCTTCTCAAAGGTGAGGCTTTCATATTAACACCTCCATATTGGAATTGAATTTAGACAGATAAAAGGGGAAACTTTTTCTTCTTTTTTTTTTAAATTTTTTTTTTTCTGTTAAAGACCTAAAACTGAATTAACCTAACTATATACTGTTAATGTTTGTCTTCTGGTACGGTTTTTATTGATCCCTTTATGTAAAAGATAAACTGAGAAATTGACTTCAGTAGCTGCAGAATTAATGTAATTATATGCCAAGGAACCTGTTTCACTTTTCTGCCCGGTATCTCTCAATGGAGAATAAGCCCTCAAACAGATCAGGCTTTGTTCTTTACTATTGCATCAGCTCACTCCTGTGCTCCCTATCTTTATAACTGCACTCTCTTGTTTTCATCGCCATGTGTTTTTTCTCTTCTTCTTCTGCTTTTCTATCCCCCAATGGAGCATAGGCCCTCAACCAACTCACGCCAAGTCATTCTATTCTTTGCCATTGCATGGAGCTCTCCCCATGTCCTCCCCATCTTTCTAACCTCATTCTCCAGCTCTCTTCTCCATGTGTTTTTTGGCCTTCCTTTATTCCTATGCCCCTGTGGGTTCCAATGCAAAGACATTCTAGTTATGCTGTTCTCCTGTTTTCTCAGTGTGTGTCTTATCCAACGCCAGCGTCTTTTCCTAACCTCTTGGTCCATGAAGACATGGGGAGAGCTTCATACAATGGCGAAGGATAGAACGATTTGGCGTGAGTTGGTTGAGGGCCTATGCTCCATTGGGGGATAGAAAGGCAGAAAAAGAAGGAGAAGAATTAGGGATGTGTCCTTCACAGTTGGAGTGCACCATGCCTGAGAGGCAAGGAAGAGATTTTGGAGGCAGTGTATTCTGTAGCAGTCAGTCAGTCATGTGAATGCTGGCTGCAGTGAACCTCCAGCATTGTCTTTATGTCCTCTTGATTGATTGTACTTTCTTTCAGACTGCATTTCTTCCATCTCTGAATGTTATCATCCACCCACTTGAACCTGATTAGTGTAAAAACATATGGGTTAGCACAGTGTATGCCTGATATGCAGAAAGGTCCTTTACCGAGATAGAGGAGGCTGTCATACACCAGTCTAGAAGAGAAGTCTAGAACACCAGTCTAGAACACGTCTAGAATAGAAGTCTAGAACACCAGTCTAGAACACGTCTAGAATAGAAGTCTAGAACACCAGTCTAGAACACGTCTAGAATAGAAGTCTAGAACACCAGTCTAGAACACGTCTAGAATAGAAGTCTAGAACACCAGTCTAGAACACGTCTAGAATAGAAGTCTAGAACACCAGTCTAGAACACGTCTAGAATAGAAGTCTAGAACACCAGTCTAGAACACGTCTAGAATAGAAGTCTAGAACACCAGTCTAGAACAGAAGTCTAGAACACCAGTCTAGAACAGAAGTTGGTAAAATTAACTTGGACAGGGGTCAGTGGTGGCAGAGTGATTAGTCTGCATGTTTTCCAAGACAGGGGGTTCAGGTTCACACCATGGCAGTGCGGAGTGCACTCAGCCTCTTAAGGTTGGTATTGAACGAGGTTAGGCAACTTTGATCCAGTATCCAGGAAATTAGAGAGGTGAGCATGGCAGTAATCCTCTCTGTTCTACATTTGTGTGTGTGGTCATTATCACCCACAACCAGACTGGTTCTAAGAGACATGACTTATACTTAACCACCACCAGACTGGTTCTAAGAGACATGAATTATACATAACCACCACCAGACTGGTTCTAAGAGACATGACTTATACTTAACCACCACCAGACTGGTTCTAAGAGACATGACTTATACTTAACCACCACCAGACTGGTTCTAAGAGACATGACTTATACTTGACCACCACCAGACTGATTCTAAGAGACATGACTTATACTTAACCACCGCCAGACTGGTTCTAAGAGACATGACTTATACTTAACCACCACCAGACTGGTTCTAAGAGACATGACTTATACTTGACCACCACCAGACTGATTCTAAGAGACATGACTTATACTTAACCACCGCCAGACTGGTTCTAAGAGACATGACTTATACTTAACCACAGATCTTCGTGTGCATTGTGTCATGAAAGTAGTTTATTTCAATTGCAGGTTTGAAAGAAAGCCCTTACGTCCCCCACGAAGACATAGAAACCATTCACTACATTATGCAAGAGATCCTGACCCAGTTTGGCATCAAATACAAATTTCCTTAGTCTAGCAAACAAAGCAGGTTGAAGTGCTGAGGCTGTTGCAGTATTATAGTTTCTTTACTTAACAGAGCTCGATTAATTTGAATTGTTTATCATAATGCATTTGTTTGCTTTATTTATTGGTTGTCATAATGAGCTAATTACTCTAAGTGTGGGATGTGTATTTGTCTTTCAGAAATCTAACTACAAAATATATCAGATAAAGAATCTGTGGTAGCATTGCAGCTGGATGCTTGCCTACTAGCTTTAAGGTCTTGAGTTCAAACCCGCACTGAGTTTTTCCTTCAAAATAACCTCCCAGGGGAAGCCAGCTCACAATAAGTACAAGGAATTGTTCTGGAAAATAAAGGTGGCTAGTATGATGTTGATGACATCACCCACAGAGGTCCAATAAAAATCCAGCATTCTATGCTCCATGTGTCACCAATGTTTAACACACACAAAAGTGTCTTTTTCTTATATATATATTTATATAAAATAACTTTAAAATATATTTTCTTGAATTTTTAAAATGTAGCAAAATTTGCCTTATTTCTCCCCATGAGGGTTCTTGGGGGGGGGGGGGAGACACACTGCTATTCCCCCCTCCCCCACAAGCATGTCATACAGGGTGACTAATTAAGGAAGTTTCCTTTGAACTGGGGGTGCCTGAGATTCTAGGAACTAACAGTCTGCATACAGATGAGTAAGATCTGTGAATCAGATGTGCACACAAAACTCAATTTCTGAAACAAGACTTAAAAGTCGCAAAATGAATGAATGATCAGAACCTTTTGCTGGAGTTTAAGGCTGGCGAACGCTAAGAAAAAATATATTTTATTGATATTAATGCACCAGCAGTTCTTTGTGATGAAAGGAAATCTGGTTGGGATTGAGGGTGCGGTCATTGTGAGGGCCTTATGACAGCCTCATATGTGAAGATGGAGATGTTGCATTCTCTGCAGTTTTGAGGCATCTCACTAGTGCTCAAGTCACCAGAGCACTTACATGTTGTAATTATAAGGGACTGAGCATGCTTCAGACAATCGAAGCTTATGTCTATTTGCAGCATAATTTGCATCACATGAAAAGACTCGGGGCATATAAATAAAGGAAGACCAAAGACCACATGAAGAAGGGAGACAGAGAGTGAAGTTAAAAAGATGGGTAGAGCTGCATGCGATAGCAAAGGATAAAATGACTTTCCATGAGATGGTTGAGGGCCTGTGCTCCATTTGGGGCTAGAAAGACAGAAGAATGATAAGACACAGATCAGGAGCATATCGAAGAGTTTTCTGCCCAGGATATTTTGGAGTGTGGGGTAAAGAGCAGACTGACAGATTAGCTGCTGCTCTTCTAGGTAACAAAATATTTTAGGCATGATAAAGCCTCACTAGTATCAATACGGTGCAGCGGAACAGAGTATCCATATCTGGAGAGACTGGTTCAACTGGGAGTGAGAAGAGAGTCTAGGCGATGTTCAGCGCAGAGGGAAAAGACAGGCAAAAATTTTTTTTTAGGTTGCAGCTGACACCAGCAGTACAGGAACTCTTTGTTGGCTACTGAGAAAGAGACAGAGCATATGTAGAAATGTTCTGATTCATTCATTGAATCATTCACCAGGGCCATCATTTGTATCCGATTCACAATTAGCACTGCGCAAATATTTCATTGTACAGATGTGACACTCATGTGGATGTACTGGCTGAACATTTTGGTTGCTGGTAATGAGTGAGTCTTTTATTCTTTTCATTCTGCCTGCAAACGGTTTTCCTATGAGAATTCCACAGTCTTCATTGAAATCTCCTTGTCTTCCACTGTTCTATACAGCTTGATTTCACTAGAATTCCAACCGGCAAAACCTGGGGTTTCTCTACTGCTTGTAGAGAGACATTACAGGAAGGAATTGCATAGTGCTGTAGTTTTCAGGTACTACAACAGATTCAGCTGCTCTGAGGTAGCTAGCCGAAAGACACACACACACACACACAGATATATATATATATGTGTGTGTGTCTTTCGGCTAGGTACCTCCGAGCAGCAGAATCTGTTGTATTATAAAAACACCAGTATTTGGAATACTCAGAAAAGGTATGTTATGCCTGTCTACAAATGTTTATTAGTTGCAGACACAATGAAGAATTGAGAATCCTCTTAGGTTGCGCACAAGATACACCAGTTAGAACAATGAGGTATATGCTTTGGCTGACATTGGTAAAGTCTAGACTGTCACTGGCGCAAGCCAGGGCCTATATGCGAGTTACCAGTGATAAATGGTATCCACTGCATGGCAGTCTGAACGATTGGAAAGGAGACCGGTTGAAAAGAGCAACGTTGTGGATGGCACTAGCTGGAGATACCATTGGGACAGTGGCCTTAGTTGATCAAATACATGAAGGCAGGAATGAGTCGATACGAACACCCATAACAGCAGTTTCTGTCAGGTCCGGAAGAGAATGTAGAGAATGGTGTAATGGTATGGCAGAATTAAAAGTACAACAACTGATAGATAAAAACGCTGGGCTAAATGATGCAACAGTGTACACCAATGGTTTTTTCATTGAGGTGTAAGATCTGGCTGGGGATTTTCAGCTAGAATGAAGGAAAAGATCATAGTAAAACAAAATGGAGCTTTTCTATCTACAACTTCAAGCATGGGGATGGAGGTGGAGGCAACCACTGCAGCTCTGAGGGGGATAGCAGAAAATAAAGTTACTAGAGTAATTATGTATCTGATTATCAGGCGGAACTGTAGCAGTTTCAAATGTGGCATGAGTGGATACAGGCATGAGTACGTCAGCATGGCAGGGAATCAAGTGGATATACTGTCTGGAATCGCAGGAGTGCACAGGAATGAAAGAGCCGATTTCCTAGCTGCAAAAAGGATAGCTACAGGAACACTTTTACTGGACAAGGGAGACATTGTGAAGATCATATATGAAAAATGTTAATAGAAAACTAGTGAGATGAAATAACACGTGTAAGAATGTGTGAATGAAGAATTGGGAGTGGATCAGGCAAGGACTGGCATATGAGAGGAAGCGAATGATGTGTGTATTATCAGTGTGCCACAGGAACAGTTAGCATCTACACTTTAAAGACATTTGCTGAATATGCCCCTTGTACTGTGATACTGATTCTTAAATCAGTAAATCAGATTAGACAATACCACATATCAGCTTGCTTCTCATGTACCTTGCAGTGTTGAGGTGAAGCGTAGGCAGATTTCATAACAATTGTTTGGTTGATCTTATGCTGCCAGTGTCAAACATGGGACCCTTACCTAATGAAGGACAATAATAAAAACTGGTGAAAAACCTTGGACAAACTAGTTACAAGACAACATATAATTAAGAATGATAAATTAGAAGACTAGGACTGATATATATTGTATCATGCATTAAAGGCCAAGAGCAGGAGAATGTCTGTTTGTGTGTTTTATATATATATATATAGGGACAATACCAAATTAAACAACATATTTATGGGTGTTTGAGTCTGGATTTACATTTTGTCCCAGCAGGGAAGGATATGTTAGGGACGAATGCAAATATATATATTACAATATACAGTGCACTTTTCCCATAAAATTTACCTGTGGTCACTAAGTTTTCAGTTTATTACTTCTCATAAAATATTCAAAAATGTGACTACTTTATTAATCATACAGAAAATGTTAATGGTTTCACTGTCTCACGAATGTGTCTGATTCAGGATTCTCATCTGCTTCTTGGAGGACTGCCTTATTTGGTAATAGATTAGTCTTCTTGGCCAGATATCATTTCAACCCATCTATACTACATCCCAGATATCATTTCAGTCTACCTATACTACATCCCAGATATCATTTAGGTCTACCTGTTCTACATCCCAGATATCATTTCAGTCTGTCTATACTACATCCCAGATATCATTTCAGTCTACCTATAGTACATCCCAAATATAATTTCAGTCTATCTATACTACATCCCCGATATCATTTCATCCCATCTATACCACATCCCAGATGTCATTTCAGTCTTTCTATACTACATCCCAAATATAATTTCAGTCTTATATATACTACATCCCAGATATCATTTCAGTCTATCTGTACTACCGCCCAGATATCATTTCAGCACATCTATAAAACAGCCCATCTCTGCTACATCACGGATATCATTTCAGCCCATCTCTACTACATCCTAAATATCAATTCAGCCCATCTGTACTACATCCCAGATGTAATTTCAGCATCTCTTCATAATCGGATCCCTACTACATCCCAGATATCATAACAGCCCATTTGTACTACATGACAGATATCATTTTAGCCCATCTGTACTACATGACAGATATCATTTTAGCCCATCTATTTTTCATTACAGATATAATCTCAGTCAATCTCAATTACATCCCATATATCATTTCAACCCACTTGTAGTAAATTTGATCTATACTACATCCGAGATATCATTTCAGCCTATTTATACTGCATCAAACATATCATTTTAGCCAATCTCTTCTACATCTAAGATATCATTTAATCCCATCTATAGTACAGCCCAGATATCATTTCAGCCCATCTATAGTAAAGCCCAGATATCATTTCAGCCCATCTATAGTACTGAACAGGTATCATTTCAGCCCATGTATAGTACATCCCAGATATAATTTCAGCCTGCCTATAGTAAAGCCCATAAATCGTACAGCCCAGATATAATTTCAGACCATCTATAGTACAGTCCAGATATCATTTCAGTCCATCTATAATACCGGCCAGATATGATTTCAGCCCATCTATAGTACCGCCTAAATATCACTTCAGCCCATCTATAGTACAGCCCAAATATCATTTCTGCCCATCTATAGTACAGCCCAGATATCACTTCATCTCATCTATTGTACAGCCCAGATATCATTTCACACCATCTGTAGTTCGGCCCGGATATCATTTCAGCCAATCTGTAGTACAGCCCAGATATCACTTCAGACCATCTATAGTACAGCCCAGATATTATTTCAGAAAAATATTTATACCTAAA